CACGGCTGCTCAGCTCGGGCTGACTCGAACCGCTGTTGCTCAGAGCTCAAACTCTTGAGCGAGCTCTTAACCAACTGAGCCACTCAGCCGGCCCTTAAATTTTATTTTTCTTATTTCATTTTTCAACTTTCTCCCCCCAAATTATTTGTACGCGTTATTTTTTTGTTTTTTTTTGAAGGATGACAGGAAGGTTAGTTTTTAAGGTTTCTCTTCAAGAATAGTAAATCTCATAGCATATTTGAGAAGATATTTGTAAATAATAGCTATAGGAAGTAGTATTTTATCATTCTGGTGTAAATTCTATTAATAGATCTTCTCAATATGCCTTAATAATTTTTTTTCTACTTCCAAGGAGATAATTAGTGTTTTAGTATAAAACAAAACAATATTAAAAAACACAATAGCAGGGCCGGCCGTGTGGCACGTTGGTTAAGAGTTGGCTTGGGACGCCGGCTCTGAGCAGTAGGGCCAATGACGTTGCACCCTCTATAGCTTTGACGTTGCACCCTCTATAGTTTAAGATGGTAAACAAAGGCTCGACCTGGAGCTGGGCTGCTGTGAGTCGCCTGTGACGGCATAGGCTGCAGTGGAGCTGCAGTGGGTTGCCGTGAGCAACCATGAGTGGCTGGCAGCTGGCGTGAGCGACTGGCAGCTGGCATGAGCTGCCATGAGCTGCTGTGAGCGGTTGTCCAGTGGCCGGCGACCGATCTGCCTCCGCTGGGAAGAGCACAATGATAATACCAACATGGGCCAGTGAAGCAACTTCCTCCACAACTAGACTGAAGAACAAAAGGACAGCAACTTGTCTGTTCCCCTTCTCCGATTCCCCAACGCTGTTCCCTCCCCCAATTCCCCAATAAAATCTTTAAAAAAAAAACAAACAATAGCAATCTTGAATCACTATGGTGTACCCCTGAAACTAATATAATATTGCATGTTAGCTATATTTTTAATAAAAAATTTTTTTAAAGATTTTATTGTGGAATTGGGGGAGGGGAACAGCGTTGGGGAGTCAGGGAAGGGGAACAGGCAAGTTGCTTCTCCTTTTGTTCTTCAGTCTAGTTGTGGAGGACGTCGCTTCACTGGCCCATGTTGGTATTGTGATCATTGTATTCTTCCTGGCTGAGGCCGATCAGTCACCGGCTGACTGCCGGCCGCTCACGCCGGCTGCTGGCCACACATGGTAGCTTATGGCAGCTCACTGTAGCAGGGGCTGCAGCCTACGCGGTCGCCAGTGACTCACGGCAGCCCAGCTCCAGGTCGAGCTGTTGTTCATCATCTTAGCTGTCGAGGGCAGTGTCACTGGCCTTCATTTGGGGTCCGAACCAGGGCTCAGCTGCTCAGAGCTGGCGTCCCAAGCCAGCTCTTAACCAACACGCCACTCAGCTGGCCCTAAAAATCTTTTTAAAAGCCACACAATAGCTTCACTTTTTGCTTCCCGGAATAATTTTACATTACACATTCAGTTAGACTTTCACTCTGGTTCCTATGATTATATTTAAACATTAATTCTAAGTGTTATTTATTCTTTCAAGTATAACTATATATTTTCTGTCCTTGTAGCAGTAATACTTTTTTGACATGTAATGGAAAGAAGAGAAGAATGTTTTTGAGAGGGCCAGAGAATCTTATATCCTCCATTTTTCTAAAATGACAAAAAAAAATGTAATGGAAGCTATTTAAACAATAAAAAGGTACAAATATAAAATGGAAAATGATAATTCCTTACTACAGTCCCACTTTTTAGAGAAGAGTTAACAGTTTGGTATTTACTCTTCTTTGATATCTTTGTATATCAAAACATATGTCCACCTAATCAATGTTTATAGCAACACTGTTATTAGGATATGCCGTCATTTGATCAATCCCCTGTTGATGGACCTATAGGTTGTTTCTACTTGTTATACACAATAACTATAATGAATATCTTGCACAAACAGCTTTGTGTTCACTTATTTCCATGGATAAATTTCTAGAAGTGGAACTTGTAGATCACAGAGGTATATATGTTTTTTGTTTAGCTATATATAGCTAGAATCCTGTCCTGTGATGTTAACAATCTCTTCTTGACAATATTTTAATTTCTGTCAGCCTTTTATGATAAGCATGCATGTATTTTTATTGTTCATAGGATGTCAAAACTTGAAATGCATGAGATTTTATATAAGTACAAATTTTTTTTTTTTAGCTGAGCCATCCTGCCACCTGTTGGCAGCTCAGCGGCAGCTCAGCTCGGGCTGGGAATCAAACCGGTGACCCTGTTGCTCAGAGCTCACACTCTTGTGCTCACACTCTTAACCAACTGAGCCACTTGGCTGGCCCTACAAATACTTTGACAAAACAAACTTTACAGTGTTAACCTCAATGTTATTTTTGAGGTTTATGTATCATGTTAAATGTAGACTATTTAGTTTCAGTTTTAATGTTATGAGCATTTTTATTTGCTCATTGGTGTTTTGTATTGGGACTTCAGGGTAAATTAATCACAAGAGACAATGCACATTTTTACTGGTTTCTTAATTGTTAATGGCATTATGTAAACTATTTATGTAACAATTATAAGTATGAATTGCTGATACCTTTGTAACTTTGTTTTTGCTTTAAGAAAGCTAGCTATTTTGAAATGTAATTTTCAGAATTTACACACAGACTTAGTCAGGCTTTTCAGCCTTATAGAAGTTTTGATGGGTTGAAGGTAATATAAGTCTCATCTATGAAAACATACTTGTATATGTAAGTAGTATTTATGCTGCAATTGTGTGAAGATCTTTATGTTTTCTCTTCGTAGGTATGCATTCCTCGGCAGCAACTGAGCTGTTTGTTACTGGATCTTTGCCAACCACTGGAACACTTCCACCCTCTGCCCTCTCTGCTTATCAGCATCCCACCACCTTCAGCAATAGAAACTTTGCTACCACCTCACCTTTGGTGCTACAGGATTCAACTTTTAACACTACATCAAATGGAATTTTAAATCCTCACGACCCTTTGCTCCAAATCAAGACTTCCCAGGGAACTGTTCCAACTGCTTTGGCTTTTGAGCGCCTGGGCAGTTGTGCGTTAAGTAATAGCATACCACCTCAGTCTTCAACATATCGCTCAGCGCAAGAGTCTGCACCCCATCTTTTACAACCTCAGTTTAGTGTGTTGCCTTCAGCACTTGGGGGAGCCCAGCAAACTCCTCAAGCCTACAGTTCAACTCTCTTTACTAGTTCTACTGCTTCCATTGAAAGAGCTCTTCTTCGAGAATGTAGTGTTATTAAACACCATCAGCGGCCTTCAGGTACCCAGTCTATTCAGGCACAACTGACTGGTTCACAGCATTCCTTACATAGTTATCTGTCAAATGCAAGTGTAGTTAATTTTCAGGAAACAAGCAGGCAGTCATCTTTATCCTGTAGCCCAGTTGGAGAGTCCACTCAGGTGAGCAATGGAGAATTGCAGCAGAAGACCGGCCAGGTCTCAGTGGAACTTGCTCAGTCTTACTCATCTGCGATCCCATCATCAGGATATCCTCCTTCCACTACAAAAGTAAAAAGCTGTTCTACGAAACAACCACTAACATCAACTAAGACCCCCAAACCTCAAAGCATAATTCCTCCTGTGCAAACACTAAGCTATTCCAAACCTTTACATAACCAGAGTTCTGTAATATCGGGCCAAGCACAAATTTATTCTACAGCGCAGCTACCAAGCCTTTTATCAGTTAGTCAGTCACAAAATTATGGTTTAGTACAGCCACATAATGTGCCATCTATTGTTCATTCACAGGTTTATAGGTCCAGCAAAGTTGAGAAGTTGCCATCCTTATATAAAACATTGACTTTTTCTGGGTCGTCTCAGACTATAACTTCTGAAAATGAGACACTTAATTATTCTTCTAATCAGCAAGAGGTATTATCTTCAGTTACAAACGAGAATTACCCTGCTCAAACAAGAGATCTAGCTTCAGTTAGCCAGTCTCAGAGTTATTCATCTGGTCATTCTCAGGGTTTATCACCAGTTAGCCAGACACAGGTTAGTTATTCATCTCAATCACAAGATTTGTCAGTTGTTAGCCCTTCAGAAAGCTATGCTTCAGGGCAGTCCCTAACATTAACCGCCCCTTCTCTTTCTTACTCTCCCGCCTCTCAGGCTCAGAATTTGCCAGATTCTAGCCCAAACCAGAATTATATTTCTATGCATTCTTCCCAAAATGCTCAGGCTCAAGGGTCGTCATCTCCCCAATCCCAAAAGTTTTTGCCTGCCGTCCAATCATCATCTTTTACATCCTCTACTCATTGTCAGACATTACAGAATAACATGCCTTCCCCTGATCCAAAGTCTTATGCTGAAAGAAAACTTGACTCAAATGTGTATACGTCTTCAAAGCAAGAAGATGGTTTTCCAATGGAAGAGTTACAGGTGTTACAGCCACAAGTATCTCTTGAGTCATCAACCCAAAGGCTATCTGATGGGGAAATGAATGTTCAAGAATCAGCTTATAAGGTGTCAAAGGCAGATGACAGATATTCTCAGAGTGTAATCAGAAGCAATTCCCGTCTTGAAGATCAAGTTGTTGGGATTGCTCTACAAGGGTCAAAAAAAGAAGAAAGTATGGTTGGTTCAGTGACACAACTTAACCAACAAATTGGCCAAGTCAGTAATGCAGCAACCCTTGAGATGAAGAAGGCAACTAATTTAATGCAGACTCCACAAATAAGGTTGAATACTAAAGACTTAAGCCAGCAGCATTCTCTTATACATAAGGCACATGAAGCCAAGGTCCAAGAGCAGCACGATCAAATAATTAATGCCTCATCTCAGATTCAAATTCCAAATCATGCTTTAGGGCATGGCCATCAGGCATCCCTTCCTAATACACAGATCCTTTTAGATTCTGCCTGTGACTTACAAATTCTTCAGCAGTCAATACTGCAGGCAGGTATAGGACAAGTAAAGACATCTTTACAAGTACAGCGTGTTCCAAGTCCTCAACAAATAGTACATCCTTTTCTTCAAATGGATGGCCATATTATTCAGAGCAATGGCGATCATTCTCAGCAGCAACTCCATACTCAGAATTCTGAAATTTTGAAAATGGACCTCTCTGAGTCTTCAAAGCCTTTACAACATCTAACAACAAAGGGCCACTTCAGTGAAACAAATCAGCATGACTCAAAGAATCATTTTGTTTCACTTGGGTCAATATGTTTCCCTGAGGCCATGCTTCTCAGTGATGAAAGGAATATTTTATCAAATGTAGATGATATCTTAGCAGCTACAGCAGCAGCTTGTGGGGTTACACCTTCTGATTTTTCCAAGTCAACTTCAAATGAAATCATTCCAGCTGTTGAAGATGGTGATTCTAAATCTCATTTTCAGCAGTCATTAGATGTCGGGCATGGGACTTCAGATTTTAACTCCATAACAGCAACAGTAGGAAAGCCACAGAATATAAATGATATTTCCTTAAATGGAAGTCAAGTTACTGTGAACCTTTCACCAGTACCGACCCTTCAGTCAAAAATTACTCTTGATCAACAGCACATTGAAACACCTGGTCAAAATAAAGCATCTAAACTAACTTCACCAGTGGTTGGACCAAGTCATGAAGCCCATGAGCAAAGTTCTGGCCCATTCCAGAAACAGTCTGCTACCAGTCATGAATCTGAAGATGACAGTGAAGTTCCTGTTGATAGTACATTAAATAATAACAGAAACCAAGAGTTTGTTTCTAGTAGTAGAAGTATAAGTGGAGAGAGTGCTACATCGGAGAGTGAGTTCACCTTAGGGGGTGATGACAGTGCTGCCTCCATGAATCCAACTAGGAGTGCACTTGCATTGTTGGCCATGGCCCAACCTGGGGAGGCGATCGGTGTCAAGACTGAAGAAGAAAACCAAGATTTAATGCATTTTAACCTTCAGAAGAAAAAAACTAAAGGGAAAGGGCAAACTAAAGAGGAAGACAACAGTAATCAGAAACAGCTGAAAAGACCTGCCCAAGGTAAACGCCAGAACCCAAGGGGAACAGATATGTATTTGCCATATACTCCTCCCTTAGATGGCTGCCATGATGGTTATCAGCATCAAGAAAAAATGAGACAGAAGATCAAAGAAGTAGAGGAAAAACAGCCAGAAGTCAAAACAGGATTTATTGCCTCTTTCTTAGATTTTCTGAAATCAGGGCCCAAGCAGCAGTTTTCCACTCTTGCTGTACGAATGCCTAACAGGACTAGACGACCGGGGACACAGATTGTTCGTACATTTTGTCCCCCACCACTTCCAAAGACTTTATCTACAACACCCACACCTTTAGTTTCTGAAACGGGGGGTAACAGTCCATCAGAAAAACTTGATAATGAACTTAAAAACTTAGAACATTTATCTTCATTTTCTTCTGATGAAGAAGATCCTGGAATATGCAGTCATGATATTTATAAAAGCTCCTCTACTACCTTACCTACTCTGGATGCTACTTCTGATAAAAAAAAGAAAACAGGTAAAGTTTTAAAATTTAGTTCATAATTAAGGCTTTATACTACTTTCCTGGCTATAAGACTGGGTTTTAAGCTTTCTTCACTTGAAGCAGGTCTGCAAATAAGTTTTCAGGACAAAATGCATAGGCAGTTATCTAAGGGACTTATTAATGTCCTTACCTGTAGGAAAATTCTGGGTTTTAGGTTTAGTAGTTCTGTATTTTCTTGACTTTTTGCCACATGCAACATAACTTACATGGTATGCTATCCCGACTTCTCTAAGCTGAGACATCTTGAGGTGGCTTATGGATATGACACATTGTTTTAAGGGCTCTGTTGTAGTATAAAATGGCATATATTTTCTTGGTATGCCAATTTTACCTGAAAGTTAACATTTACTATTAAATATGGTTATATTGTGTGCAGCATGCACATTAACATAATTAAGATAAAATTTTAAAATTTTGTGCTGGCTCCTGACTATATGTCCACATCTTTGGAGTATGTTTCACTTTAGTGTGTAGTTAAGGGAACATTTAGAGGCGCTGTTTAAAGATGCACTGCCTTATGTAAACAATTAACAAGTATAAACATAACTATTTTAAGGAATATGCTAAGGAAAAACTATATTTATAACAATAAAATAGCTACCACCTCTGTGCCAGGAACCAATAGCAATGTTGGGAGATACACTTTGTTGCCTTCAATATACAGACGATATAACTGAGAGTAAATAAATTGCCCTGGTCCATACAGCTAGTAAGTGGCAGAGCTGGAATCTGAATTAAAGTTTATCTGGTTCTAGAGCCTGTATTTATTCCTGCCTTGCTCTTTTGTATAAATAGAGTGGTGCTTCAAGAGTTAAACCTCGTTTTTTGATGTGCTTCTTAGTTTCTTTCTGGAGTTAAGACTACATTTAACTACTAAAGTGACGTGAAACAACTGCTATCCCAAATAATCTATTTGCATAAATGTCTGCTCATATATTTCTAAAAGAATTTTCATTTTGTTATACAGGGAAATTAGCATAATGGAAAGTCAGTGTGACAGTCAAAGACATGGATGTGACTAATCCTAGTAAGATTTTTACACTCCTCTCCCCATTTCAAAGTGCTTTGCAATTACTTTTATATTCCTTCTTACATTCCTAGAACAAACCTTTTGTAATCTCTGTTCTAAAACATCAATCTAAAACTGGTTTCTTCCAGAAAACTTATTATCTCATTTTTAGTGAAAATCATCACCATTAACCCAATTTTCACTATTAAGTCTTTGAATTCTCTCTTTACCATCCAATTGCCACCTCATCTGCAAGAACTCATCATCTCTTGCTTGGATTATTACAACAGACTTCTTATTAGAATCCCTCCCACAAGTCTCTACACCAGTCCATCCATCCTCCACTTTGTCATCACATTTATCTTTGTGAAAAAGGAAAACTGATTGTTATATCTCTGCTTTGAAATACTTGGTGCTTAATGGAAAAAAAAGAAATAACATGTAAAAATTCTCCTTTTCCATATTTTACTTTTGCACAACTCTTTCTACTTTCCCTCTTCTGTGACAACTGAATTTCTCATTGTTCCTTGGACCTGTGAGCTCCTTCACAATTGTGAGCCTTTAGGTTTTTCTCAACCTAGAATGCCCTCCTCTCCATTTTTTAATCCAGCAGACACTTAGTTATCTTTGAAGACCATCTTCTAAGTCACTTTGTGGAAGTTACTGCAAACAGAGTGAGTGCTCATATCCTCTAAATTCCCATAGCCATTAACTGTCTCTGGAAGGTAAAAGTTTTAAATTAAGTTTTAAATGAGGTTAATTTATCCATTTTTCCTTTTGTGATTTATGTTTTTTGTATCCTAAGAAATCTTTGCCTAACCCATGGTTACAAAAATTTTCTTCTGTTTTCTTCTAGAAGTTTGAAAGTTTTGCATTTTACATTTAGGTCTATGATCGATCCTTTTGATTTTATTTTTATATATGATATAAGGTATGGGTTGAAGTTAATTTTTCTGCATACAGAAGTCCAGAATCTCCAGTACCATTTGTTGAAAAGACAACCCTTTCTCCATTGATTGCCTTTGCACCTTTGTTAAAAATTGATTGACCACATTTGAGTGAATCTATTTTTGGACTCAGATCTGTTACATTGATCTGCGTTTATGCTTTCACCAATACCATGCTGTCTTACTGCTGTAGCTTTACGGTAAGTCTTTAAATAAGATAGTGTGAGTCCTCCAAATTTGTCTGTTTCAAAATTGTTTTGCCTACTTTAGTTCCTTAACTTTTCCATATAAATTTTCAAATCAGCTATTGCTATCTACAAAAACCCTGGCCAAGATTTTGATTTTGATTTCCTTCAATCTATAGCAATTTGAGAAAAACTGAACTGTTAACAATATATTGAGTCTTAACCAATTCATGAACATACTTGATTTCTTTCAGTAGCCTGTTTTGTAGTTTTTGGCATATAGTTAGATCTTACACATACTGTTAGATTTATTCCTGAATATTTTTTTGGTGCTATTTATTATAAATGATACTTTAAAAAGTTTTCAAATTCCAATTATTCATCAGTAGATTATAAAAATACAGTTGGTTTTTATATGTTGATCTTAAATCCTGTGACTCTGCACAACTGATTTATTCTAGAATATTTTCCTTTTAGATTCCATAGTTTTTTCTATGTAAAAAATTATGTCATCTGCAAATAAGGATAGTTTTATTTCTCTTCTTTTACATTCTTATGCCTTTTTCGTTCCTGCCTTAATACACAGGCTAGGATTTCCTATAAGAATGGTGAGTGTGGACATCCCGATCATGTTCTTGATCTTTTGGGGAAGGAAATCAATCTTTCACCATTAAGTATGATATTAACTTTAGGTTTTTTGTAGATGCCTTTTTTATCACATTAAAGAAGTTCCTTACATTTCTTAGTTTGCTGACAGTTTTTATAATGAATGGAAGTTGAATTTTGTCCAATGCTTTTACTTCATCTGTTGAAGTGATCATGTAGTTTTCTTATTTAGCTGTCAGCTTTTTTATACACTGATGAATTTTCTACTTTTTTTTTTTTTTTTGCATCTGTGTTCACAGTGGATGTTGATCTGTCATTTTCTTTTTGTAATACCTTTGGTTTTGGTATCTGGTTCTTGACGGTGTTTTGGTATTTTGTATCTTTGAAATGAAATTGGCCCATTTCATTTAAGTTGTCGAATTTATGGGTATAGAATTGTTAGTAGCATTTTCTCATTATCTTTTTAGTGTCTGTAGGTTCTGTAGTGATTACATTTCGGATATTGGTAATTTGTGTCTTCTCTCTTTTTGATGTTGGTAATTTGTGTCTTTTTTTTTTGTCTTGGTCAGTCTGGATCGAAGTTTAATTCTCTTGATCTCTTCAAAAAACCTGCTTTTAGTTTATTTTTCTCCTTTGTTGACAGTTTCATTGATTTTCTGCAGTTCTCATTATTTCCCCTTTTTTTGTTGATTTAGGTTTATTCTCTTTTTTCTAGTTTCTTATGGAAGAAGCCTAAATTGTTAACTTGAGACCTCTGTTTTCTGCTATAAGCATTTAATGTTTCAAACTTCTCTCTAAGCCCTGCTTTAACTGTATGCCACAAATTTCTATTATTTTCTCTCTCTGGCTTCTTGAGTTTAATACTTAGTTAATTTTTGTATTTGCTTGCTTTCTAACAAATAGCATTAAAGTGTTAGTTATCTTTGCACCACACTCTGACTCGATTCCTCTAGTTTCAATTTGTATGCTCTCACTGTCCTTTCTAAATGGTTTGTCACTTGACTTTTGATTTCCTTTTTAACCCAAGAGTTCTGAAGAATGGTGGTTTTGGGGTAGTTCCTAGTATGTTTTTGTTGTTGTTGTTGCTTTTGGTACTCCTTTATTACTAATTTATGGTCCTGTTGTATTGTGGTCAAGGGAATATGGCTTAAATAATGTCTGCATTTTTAAATGTATGGAAATTTTATTAGTAGCTTGGTAAATAGTCAATTTTTATAAATATCCCATTAATACCAAGTGATAATAGATTTTTTTGGTAATGTTCAAATCCGTTATATCTTTATTCTTTGTTTAATGTAATAAATTACATTAGGTTATATAAAAAAATGTATATGTATATGTTGGAGGTAAATGACAGGTCTAGAATTTGCCTTTACTATCCCAGCAAATATAAAAAGGCTGATGGCTAGATGAAAGAAGTATACCAAAATGTTCGTGGTTGTTACTGCTGGGTTATGGTGCGTGAGGGTTTGTATTCTCTACTTGTGTGTGTTTGAAATTTTTAATAATAAAAAGTTTTTTTAAATCCTCCCTATCCTTATTTGTTTTTAGATTGCTTGATCTGTTGATTCCTGCAAAAGGTGTGTTAAAGTTTCCAACTATGTTTTATTATTTACCTATTACTGTTTATTTGATATGTTTTGAACCCATGATGTAATCAGGTGTATAAAAGTTTGCTACAGTTAAATTTCCTTTTATCATAATAAAATCTTTTTCCCATTTTCTGTTTTTAATTTTGCCATACTAATTTTATTGTTAATGTTAGCATTTGTAGTATACTTTTCCATATCTCTATTTTCTTTCTTTCAGAACATTTTTTCTTGTGAAATAAAATTCACATGTGAAAATATAACACACATAAGGAAAACAAACACATAAAAATTTCCATAAATTTGAAAATGCCTACAGTACTTAAGCCATATTCCCCAACCACAATGCAGTAATTTCATAAAAGAATAGCAGAAATAAAAATAAGTTTTTATTTAAAAACTTCTAAGTAACTTGTAATCAACTTCTTCTAAACAACTCATGGCTTAAAAAGGAAACCAAAACTGAAGTAACAAACCACTTAGGACAGTGGAGCATAATATTTTAAAACCAGTGAGATGTGCCAAGAATGTGGAGCAAAAAAGAAAATTGATGGTGTCAAATGCTATTTGTTAGAAAGCAAGAAAGTACAAAAATAAATTGAACATTAAATTAAACCCAACTCATAACCTCTAGAAC